CTCTGTAATGTACAGTTTTAGGTTTTCCTGTCCTAAAATTGTTCCTTCATCTTGCTCAAGCTGAAAAATCCTTTTCTTTTTATGTTTATCATTAGCGATCATGTGAAAGAATTGAGTGTTTGCATCCCCTGGACTACTCGTCAGACCTTGGTCCGCAACGCCCACTTCAATTCCTCTTCTCGAAGAAGTTCTTTCAGCCTCATCTCCGCGTCAAGCTTGGCATGAAGCTCCGTGGCCGGCAGCACCGTGGTTTCTGCTTTTACATCTAGGGACTGAATAAGGGAAAGGAGCCTTTCCTTTTCGACCTTATAAATCCCGCTAAGATGCTTAGCCCAACCACGCAGGAAACTCCTCAAATGCCTAATCTTATTCTGCCAGCGCTGAAGCGCAGTCTTTCCTCCTGAATCCTTAGCCCACTCTCTGGCAACGAGATCAAGGACTAGTCTTGAGACTAAAGAGAGGCTAGAACTAGTTTTGAGACTAAAAAATTTTAGTCAGGGGAACCCTACTAAAATGTGGATTAGTCCTCTCTCCTCATTTAACTCCTCTCCTTTAACACATGCGAGTTCTGAATTGGAGGGTTTGGAGGATAATAAATGCTCATTAACTCCATTTTAGTCTATTTAGTATTTGTATCCAAGCATGGGTGAGGCTAGCAAGTTTTAGTCCCATTACTTTTAGTCATGGGACTAAAATGTATCCAAGCACCCTCTAAATAACCTTAAACACCTGCTTAAATTCAGGGTCCATCACTGACTTTGTCACTTTGACATGCTTTTATTCCTACTGGTATAAACCCGTACGTACCAGTAACCACTTGCAAGCAAAGCAGGGCAGGGCGTTACAGCTCGCGCCCATTGCTTGGTCACCGATGCCTTCAGAAAACAACCTACCGTGCCACCGGGGTGTCGCCTTCTCGCCACTTCCTCTCGTCGATTTCACGTCACGTCACTGGGGGCGTTAATTTCTCCTCCTCCCTCTGACATCTTCCTGTTGTCACACACAATGGTCAAAGTTACCTGCGTTCGCTAGCTCTTCACATTATGTTGTTGTTTAAATCTTCACATTATTCGTTGTATTGTATGGAATTAATACTTTGCTGACCTGAACATTCGGCTGATTTTTCCAGATCGAAGGTGCGGTCGCAGAGGACGGGAGAAAACCCAGCATCTGGGACACGTTCACACACTCAGGTTAGTTCTACTTTCCCCATGACCTGTGCGTCTGAATCTGCCATGCATTCTCCTATTGTTAATTATAAATATAACATGGAGTTTCTAACATTCGCAGGCCATTCCGTCGATGGATCAAATGCTGATGTGACTGCAGATCAGTACCATAAGTACAAGGTCAGTTTGTGAGACCAACTGATGTTAAATGGGTGACTTTTCCGACCAAGAACTCGGTGCTAATCTCGCAGCTGATTTTGTGTGTGACAACAGGAAGATGTTAAGCTTTTGAGCGACATGGGCGTCGACGCCTACAGATTTTCCATTGCCTGGCCTCGCCTTATTCCCGGTAAGGCCATACCGACAGTGGTAGTACAACCATTTCTCCTATACACCTGCTGAATAATCTGTTCCAGAAAAGTTGGCTAGTCACTTCACTGACTATTGTTTGCAATCCATGAAGATGGCCGTGGAGCTGTCAATCCAAAGGGACTGGAGTACTACAACAATCTTATCGATGAACTCCTGGCTCATGGTATTTAATCCTTGGCAGACTGAATCCTTCCTCCAAGAATAAAAATTCAAGGATTTTCAGATATCCAGTTGCACATGAGTAACACATGCATCTTTCTCTGCTTCGTGTAGGAATCCAGCCTCACGTCACGATATATCATTTCGACTTCCCTCAGGCTCTTCAAGACGAATACAACGGGATGCTTAGCCCCAAATTCATGTACTTTATTTTTACCCCACTAATCAACACCGCTACTACAAGTGCAACTCCATAAGAGAAGAAGAAGTAATTATTTATTTTTTGCTTTCTGTCACATGGTTGCAGAGATGATTACACGGCGTATGCAGAAGTGTGCTTCAAGAACTTTGGCGACAGGGTGAAGTACTGGAGCACTGTCAATGAGCCAAATATTGAGCCGATTGGCGGATATGACCAGGGTATCCTCCCACCGCGACGATGCTCATTCCCCTTCGGTGCCCTCAGTTGCGATAATGGCAACTCTACCACAGAGCCATACATAGTAGCACACCATCTTCTCCTTGCACATGCCTCAGCAGCGTCCCTGTATAAAGAGAAGTACCAGGTTAGGAACGATACCACCTTTTAGTCTTTCACAGAACCAACCTGTTCATTCAGGATTAGTCATTTTCACATGTGTAATATCCCCTTCTATTTCTTTATAATCAGGCCAAGCAGGGAGGAAATATTGGACTCACATTGCTCGGTTGGTGGTACGAGCCTGCAACACAAACACCTGAGGATATAGCAGCAGCTGAAAGGATGAACGACTTTCACATCGGATGGTCTGTTCTTCTCTAGGACTCAAGTTTCATAGAAGCAGCTATAATTTGTGTGTAACTACAACTAAAGATCATCTGAACATGGCACAGGTATATGCATCCGTTGGTGCATGGAGATTACCCCCCGGTGATGAAGAAGAATGTTGGGTCCAGGCTACCATCTTTCACCGACGAAGAACTGAAGAGGGTGCTCGGATCTTTCGATTTTGTCGGATTTAACCACTACATTGCGGTATATGTTAAGGCTGATCTTAGCAAGCTGGATGATGAGCTGAGAGATTACATGGGTGATGCAGCCGTGAAATATGACAGTAAGCAATCTAATAACCTAAGGTCATCATGTGTTATATGCGACACTGTGCAATGAGAGAAATGGGATTAACCTAACTTTTCTGCAAATTTATTCTTGCAGTGCCATTTTTGAAGAAGAACCAGGTATTTGACGATACAATGCATTTCATCCCTAATCAATTCAGTTGGGAAATGAACTTTGTTCCCAACATAACTAAATCATATATATTTCTGTGTGGCTAAAATTAAACTGTAACAGCTCCTGTTTGGGTTGAAAAGCGATTTCATGACATCGACACCGTGGGCTCTGAAGAAAATGCTGGAGCATCTCCAGCTCAAATACAAGAACCCTATAGTCATGATCCATGAGAACGGTAAATTCTACTAAAACAGAACTTTCAGCTACCCTAAAACATCATGATCCCAAGGAATCATCAACCTGAAATATCATGTCTTCAATGTTCATATTCACCAGGAGCTGCTAGCATTGCGGATCCTTCTGCCGGAAACGCCCCCGACGACGAGTTCAGGTCGCAGTACCTGCAGGATTACATCGAGGCGACCCTCGAATCCAGCAGGTACCAACACATTCATCTTAGTACAAGAGTGACATGACACCTGAAACATATTGACACAGCTATCTGAGTATCTGACCATTCTCCTCTGTTGCTGGGTGATCAGGAACGGGTCGAACGTGCAGGGCTACTTCGTGTGGTCGTTTCTGGACGTGTTCGAGTATCTGTTTGGCTACCGCATGGGCTTCGGCCTCTATGGCGTCGACTTCAACTCCGAGGAGAGGACGAGGTACCAGAGGCACTCCGCCAAGTGGTTCGCCGGCTTCCTCCGTGGCGGTGAGCTCAGGCCGGTGGCTCTGCCCGGCCAGGCTTATTCGCAGTGATTTGGCACGCCTGAAGATTCTGTAGCCCACGGAGAGGAGGATGGACGATGAATAAGCCTGGGAAGATGGTTGGGTGTTGTTTTTGGATGGTAATTGAATTTTGCTTGGGCAGTAGGGTTTATATACAGGTCTCTGCTTCTTTGGATTCGATTGTTCCTAAATGTATATGTCTATGTTGATGTATATGCGAAAATATTAATATGCCAATATGCATGGGCTGTGAAGATGAACAAGGCACACACATGCTGTGCTGACCAAACAAAGAGCCTCCTGATGTTGTCAATATGCTGTATTGACCAAACAAACAGTGTAGCGCCCCTCTCCTCTACTGCAAGCCAAACTTGGCAGGTCTGTTGTCACCATCATCTTGCCAGAAAGGGAAATGAGTTCGGTGCGGAAGAGAATGGAGCCCAACATTGGGACTCTCTGGGGCCGACCTGTAGGCCAGAGCCCAACATTGGGAGTGATTTACAGCAGAAAGTGGATGTGGTTGAACTATACGAGAGGGCCAGATTCGTCGAACAAAAAAAAAACTCGTTCCGGCGGTGTTGCTGAGTGGCGCTCCTCTTACAAATTAACACCGGTGCTCGCGCGGCGGTGGCCGAGGTGAGGGGGTGATGGCCGGCCTGGAGCTCAGGCAGGTTGTGGTTCGTGTGCAGGGCCAGGGCGAACGCACTCAAGGTGCTCGGGAAAATGCTGCTGCTGTATATATGTGGGTTTGAATGGAATGTCTCCGGTTTTGGAACCATGATGGGCTGCATCTCGACAAAAGAAAAAGATGGGGACCTGATGTCGGCTTCCTGTGAATTCGAGGGGCAAAAATATAATTTTTCCTTAATTAATCCAAAGTAGCCGGACTTTTTCTGTCGAGTAAACAGCTGCACCGCTAGGCTTGGGAAGTCGCAGGAACAGTGGGTACGTAGATGGTTGTCGACGTGGGCGGGAACGGGAACGGTGCAGCCGACGTGGTGGGACAAAGAGAAGGGACAAAGCGGTCTCTCGCCTCCCGCTTGCGTTGCGTGTGCTTCCGTGATTCCGTCCACTGCGCCTGGCGTTACACGCAGCCGGTCCGGCGAGGTCAGGATCGGAAGCCAGATTCCTTTTCCCCGGCGGCCGACCATGACGCTGACGCAAGTCCTATGCCACACATACACACGCGCACTCGCAGCCACGCCATTCCCAAGCTTCACAGCGGCCGCAGGGCACCCGGAACGGCATATAAAAAGAGACCATCGGTTCATCACCCACCCCACCACCACCGCCGAGGAAAACAGCGCGCAGTGGCCAGCGAATCGACAGAGCTTGCAACAGCTGCCTATATATAGGCGATGAGGACGGCGGGCCGGACGCCGGCGACGAGGGCGCTCTCCTGCGTCCTTTTCCTCCAACTCGCCGTCGCCTCTCAGGGGGCGATCACCAAGGGCGACTTCCCCCCGGGGTTCGTCTTCGGCATCGGCTCCTCCGCTTACCAGGTACGCACGGCACTGGCTCAGCTCACGCCGGCCAGTCCCGGCTACCCGCCTCGCCCTCGCCCTCGCCCTTGCTTGCATGGTACAGTAGTATATCAGTATATCGCCGGTGGTTCGTGCGTACGGATTATTTCTCCTGTCACAGCTGACTGCCACACCAGCATCTCCCTAATTAATTAAAACATACAGAGATATCATATACGAAGTGACCTAAAATGTTCTCGATCAGGAAACAAACGTACGTACAGAAAGCCACATCCTCTGTTGCTTTTGTTATACTCCCTCCGTTCAAAAATACTTGTCATCAAAACGGACAAAAAGAGTTATATCTAGAATTAAAATACATCTAGATACATTTCCTTTTATTCATTTTGATGACAAATATTTCCGGGCGGAGGGAGTACCAGTATCAAAGAGCAGTACCACTACTAGTATACTATTATTATCTTTGTGCTGGGCATGAAATTGCTGCCACGTATATACGCCAACTTGTTGGTCGATACGTCTCCACGTTCATATATAGATAGTAGAAACAATATAAAAGATCTCCTTTTTACCTTCAAAGGAAATAGCACCAGAGAGATGGCATTTGCATACCGTGCGCTACGCTAATGTTGTTTTCCTCCTCCTGGCCTTCCCTTTTCCTTCACGAGCTCCTTCGCCTTTTTCTCGACGACATTTTGGTCACACGTGACGCGTCCTATCAACAAAGTGAACCCCCTCACCCCCCGCCACCTGCAATGAAAAGCTGTGCCGTCAGCATTTTCGTCAAAAAAAAACAATAAAGTGAACTGAGCCATCGATCAAACGGGTGGAACAGGGCGTGCGAGAAAGTAAGGGACATGGAATTTCCACGGCGAAAGAGCAGTTTTTCTTTTCTTTCCACGTGTTCTGGCCATGTTTTCCTAATCTAATCTTAAGCGAAGGAATAATGTGGCGATGCTGGATAGTTAGTGGCATGTATAATTGTGGCATATGGATACATATGCCCCATGACAAAAAGTAATTTGAAGCACCTACATTAATTTTTCCTCTCCAATGCAAGCTATCACTAGTGGGCCTCATTAAGAAATAAAAAATAAAGACTCTAGTACACATGCATCTCTACTTTTCACTTCAATCTTTTCAGCTTTTGTCATCGGACCACGCCTTTTCTCTTCAAGCACCCGCCTCCTGGAGAGGATCCTACTTCCTTATCCAAACCTACTTTACGTCATACCTACTTTACATCATATCCGGATATGACATAAAGTAGGTTCGGATAGGGAAGCGGGATCCTCTCCAGGAGGCGGGTGCTTGGATATGACGTAAAGTACGTTCGGATAGGGAAGCGGGATCCTCTCCAGGAGGCGGGTGCTTGAAGAGAAAAAATGTGGTCCGATGACAAAAGCTGAAAAGGTGGAGTGGAAAGTAGAGATGCATGTGTACTAGAGTCTTTATTTTTTATTTTTTAATGAGGCCCACTAATGATAGCTTGCACTGTGAAGAAAAAACAAATGTAGATGCTTCAAATTACTTTTTGTCATGGGACATATGTATCCATATGCCACCATTGTACATGCCCTAATGTTCCATTCCTGAGTACGTAGTATACTTGTACGTACTTGTGCTGAGCTGTTGATGGCAACAGTGGACTGGTTCGACGTCCAAAAAGAGGCAAAACTGTGGACTAGTTCGAAACATGCAGCTTCTTAAATACAGGGTCCATCTCCGACCAGCACAAACGTTCTTTCTAATGTTATTATATCCATATAAAACTCGATTCAAGTTAAGCAACCAATCACTGACAGCCTGTGCCTATGCTTCGTTTTACTGAGGATGACGTTTTCGTCCCATATAGTCTTCGTCTTCACAACAGAACCCAGATGCCGTTTTTTTCATGAAAGATCCAGCATTGCTGGCATTCATTGATAATAGCAGGAAGCAACGGAAAACAATAAGATGGTGAAGGTCCTAGGACCAAAGGATCCGAAGATCAAAAAACAAAAAGAAAAACAACAGCCCTAGTAGCTACAGTACAACACTCCTTACAAACCACACTAGGCAGCGCAGCTCCGACTCCGGCGGTGAAACTACCAAGGAAATTGGGCGGAGGTGGCGTCACGGAGGATCACCGAACGAACCACCTGTCACGTGTCATCGTATACCACCGGTTTCCCACCGCGGCTTCGACTTCACAGTAAACAGACAGTCGAGGCACTCCCACGGACACGCCGGAGAAGAAGAGCCGAGTACCACGGCCAGGGCCACGCCTCCGGCATTGTACACCGCCATCATCGTTGCCACAGAAGCCACCATACCCAGATGCCGTTTTAAAACCAGTTTCTTTCGTCCTTCATTTCGATGTCACCAGGTCAATTCCTCTTTTGGCCACTTCTTTCTGTTTTTGGCTGGAGCTAAACGGAGTATCTTAATCAGTGAAAACGGCAAATTGGCGGTGGTGTGATGCAGTAATGGTGATGGTAGGATTGGAACCGTAAATAGCCTGAAACTCTGAAGAATGCAGGGGAATAAATGGTGATCCATTTATGTTGTTAGGGATTAGGACCCGAGAGTCCAAAGAGGGGTCAAAACTAAGAAAATGGGTCCAAACTATAACTCGGCGTTTGCTCTTGAGACTGCCGGTTTTAGAGAGAATGCTCAAAATTTGGACCTCAAGGAGTATTATTGATAGAGAGAATGGTCGAAATTAACTGCCTTTGCCCTTAGGACTCTGCTGTTTGAATCATCAGAATTCGGACGACAGGTAAAACAAAAATCAGGGTTTGTATAAAATACTCCCTCCGTCCCATAATATAAGAGCGTTTTTGACACAATTGTAGTGTAAAAAACACTCTTATATTATGGGACAGAGGGAGTAGTTTGTTGTACGTACCGGCCTGAACATTCGGCTGATTTTCCAGATTGAAGGCGCAGTTGCAGAGGACGGAAGAAAACCCAGCATCTGGGACACGTTCACACACTCAGGTTAATTTCACCCACACACTGTCAGCCTGAATCTGCCACACATTATCGCATTGTGAATTATAACATGGAGTTTTAACATCCACAGGCTACTCTGCTGATGGAGCCACTGCTGATGTGACTGCAGATCAGTATCATAAGTACAAGGTCAGTTTGTGAGACTAACTGATGTTATACAGAAGAATTTTCAGACCAAGGATTCGGTGCTAAACTTACTATGATAAACCACCAGGAAGACGTAAAGCTTTTGAGCGAGATGGGCGTCGATGCGTACAGATTTTCCATTGCCTGGCCTAGGCTTATTCCTGGTAAGGCCATACCGACAGTATTAGTAAAAGCACTACATATATTGAATAATGTGTTTCAGAAAAGTTAAGAATGGCACTGAACTGACTTCTGTTTGCAATCCATGAAGATGGCCGAGGAGCTGTCAATCCAAAGGGACTGGAGTACTACAACAACCTTATCAATGAACTCCTTAGTCATGGTATTTGATCCTTGGCATACTGAATCCTTCATTTACGAAAGAAATTACAAGATCTCCAAATGTCCAGCTGTGCAGAGATAAATCGTGCATCTTCCTGTGTTTCATGTAGGAATTCAGCCTCACGTAACAATATATCATTTCGACTTCCCTCAGGCTCTTCAAGATGAATACCGTGGGATGCTTAGTCGTAAATTCATGTACTTATCTTCTTGCCCTACTATTCAATGTCATCAGTGCAAGTGCAATTTCACAAGGGAAGGAAAAATAATGGTTCTTTTTACCTTTTTTTTGTCACATGGTTGCAGAGATGACTACACAGCATATGCAGATGTGTGCTTCAAGAACTTTGGCGACAGGGTGAAATACTGGAGCACCGTGAACGAGCCAAACATTGAGCCCATTGGCGGATACGATGTAGGATTCTTTCCACCACGGCGATGCTCCTCCCCCTTCGGTATCAGTTGCGACGATGGCAACTCTACCACTGAGCCCTACATAGTAGCTCACCATCTTCTGCTTGCACATGCCTCAGCAGCGTCCCTGTATGAAGGGAAGTACCAGGTTAGGAACAATGCCACCTTTTACAGAACCAACATGTTCATTTGAGATTAGCCATTCTCGCATGTGCAATATTCCTTCTTATTTCTTGTTAATCAGGCCAAGCAAGGAGGAAAAATTGGACTCACATTGCTCGGCTGGTGGTACGAGCCTGCGACACAAACACCTGAGGATATAGCAGCAGCTGCAAGGATGAATGACTTCCACATTGGATGGCATGTTCTTCTACATTTCAAGATTAACAAGGAAAGCTAGAATGTGTATGTAACTACAGCTAAAGATCTTGTGATCATGACACAGGTATATGCATCCATTGGTGCATGGAGACTACCCCCCATTGATGAGGAAGAATGTTGGGTCCAGGCTACCATCTTTCACCGCCGAAGAGCTAAAGAGAGTTCGTGGGTCTTTTGATTTTGTCGGATTTAACCACTACGGTGCCGCTTATGTGAAGGCTGATCTTAGCAAGCTGGATCAGAAGCTGAGAGATTACATGGGTGATGCAGCCGTGAAATATGACACCAGTAAGAATATTATTAATAAGACTGAAGTCCTGTCATGTGTTATACTATGTGCCACAATGCAATGAGAGAAATGGATTAACCTAACTCTTCTGCAAATGTATTCTTGCAGCGCCATTTTTGAACTCGAACAACCAGGTATTTGATGATACAACTCATTTAATCTCTAATCAATTTAGTTGGGAAATGAACTTTGTTCCCAATAAACTAAATCATTTTTATGTCTGTGTGGCTAAAATTAAACTGTAACAGCTCCTGTTTGGGTTGAAAAGCGGTTTCATGTCATCGACACCGTGGGCTCTGAAGAAAATGCTGGGGCATCTGCAGCTCAAATACAAGAACCCTGTAGTCATGATCCATGAGAACGGTAAATTCTATTAAAACAGAACTTTCAGCTACCGTAAAACATCATGATCCCAAGGAATCATCAACCTGCAATATCATGTCTTCAATGTTCATATTTACCAGGAGCTGCTAGCATTGCGGAGCCTTCTGCTGGGAACGCCCCCGACGACAAGTTCAGGTCGCAGTACCTGCAGGATTACATCGAGGCGACCCTCGAATCCAGCAGGTACCAACACATTCATCTCAGTCAAGAGTGACATGACACCTGAAACAAATTGACACAGTTATCTCACCATTCTCCTCTCTTCTGATGGATTATCAGGAACGGGTCGAACGTGCAGGGCTACTTCGTGTGGTCATTTTTGGACGTGTTCGAGTATCTGTTCGGCTATCGCATGGGCTTTGGCCTCTATGGCGTCGACTTCAACTCCGAGGAGAGGACGAGGTACCAGAGGCACTCCGCCAAGTGGTTCGCCGGCTTCCTCCGTGGAGGCGAACTCCGGCCGGTGGCTCTGCCTGGGAAGGCCTATTCCCAGTGATCTTGACATACTACTTCACGCTTCCCACGAAGAGGACGGACGACGAATAAGCCTGGGAGGATGGTTGGGTGTTGTTTTTGGATGGAAATTGAATTTTGCTTGGGCAGTAGGGTTTATATGTAGGCCAAGTGGC